GTCAATGACATGAGACAAAGTATATGTGAACTGCTGTATGAAAAGTGAATTTACTCTGTAAATCTTCACCCAAATCCTAAAAAAAAAAAGAATACCTTTTGAGCAGATTCTGGGTCCCACACCTCTATGAGAATCTAATTAAAGCTTTGACCCTCTCTATATATACCCTTAAGTTTTACACACAGTTTTGGAGTTTACTGGACTCAGAGGTCCTCTAAACCTTTTGGTTTAGACAGAAACTTAACATCATATAGATAGAGCTATTCACTTGTTAACCTGAGAATTTTAAGGTATTATAGTTCAGTATTACTGTCTGCTCTTGTATAGTTTATTTCATGTAGTGTTCAATAGAAATGGATGTTAGCTTGTAATGTTCCTGTTGTAGCTGCCATCATCCCTCACCCTTGACAGTGGTCCAGCTAGTTTGTCCACATCTTTGGCCCTTTCTGGTTGTGTTTTTCTTCTCCACAGTACTACCAGAGCAATGTCTCTGAAATTCTTAGCTAATGGTGTTGTCCCTTGTGCTCCTACTGAAAACCCTTCAGTGGCTTCTCTCATAGGAGCATTCACACTGCTGGCAGAGCCCTGCGTGATCTAGCACCGGCTCATCTCTCTAGCTTCTCATCTACGCTCCTTACCCCTTCAGTCCCTCCAGCTGGCCTTGTTCTCTCCTGCATTGGGCTTTCATCTATGGCGTTCTGTCTGCTACAGACTCTCCCTGTGTCTCTCATCTACATATCTGCTACAGTTCTTTGTATCTCAGCTTAAATATCAGTTCCTCACGGAAGACATTGAGGACTTACCAGATAAGGTCAGATCTTCGTGTTGAGGAGCCCCCCAGCTCTGGGTTTATCTTCTCCCCAGCAGTCATGACAGTTAAGGTATTACCACTTTGCAACTTAACAAGTTACACGATTATTTTATTGATATCCTTGTCTTCCCATAGTCTATAAGATTGTTTTTATTCACCTTTGTATCTGTAATAATTCAAGAAGAGATAATTCCCTAATAATTTATATATAAATTCTACAGGATAAAGAAGTTATTTTGACTTGATGCATAGGGGGAAAAGCTTCATGAAGAAGAGGCATTTTGAATGAACTCTAAAAAGTACTATGAAATTTAGATTAAAAAGTTGAACAGGGTTTGAGACAGGAACTGAAATATATTTTTTGGAGGGAATTAGTTTGGGTGGAGTTAATATGTTTTTGCATGAGCCATTTGTTCATAAGGGGTGTGGACACAAGTCTAGAAAGACAGGTTGGAAGACATCAAATGAAGCAGTAGTTGTTATCTCAGCTGCTGTTGATACCATCATCCTCATTATTGGGGTTTTGGTGGTGGTTTTTATAGTTTATGTTATCAAATGTGGGGGAAAAATTAGCATTGGCAAATCATGGTAGGTTTTTTTTTTTTGTTTTCGTACAATTATAGTTAATTGTAGTTGTTGCCAAAGACCATTGTTATAACACCTCATTTTTCCAACAATTTTTATCATAGCTGTAAGTCCACATTTCCCATGGTTTGGACAAGACTGGTATAGAAGCATTCTGTGGGTAAAGCTACCTTATAATTAAAGCAGTAGCTTGAATGCTAGCAGCAAACATATTTATTTATTTATTTATTTGCCGTGAATAAGGAGCACCCTATGTAATTATAGTTTGCTTAGTATAATTTCTGCAGAAATTACTACATGGTATGTTTTTGGTAAAAGTGTTTTAATATGTAATGACTTCCTTGTTGTTGTTAGCTAGTTGCCATCAAATCAATTCCAACTCCTAGTGATCCTAATGTGTTACAGAGTAGAACTTCTCTAAAGGGTATAGAGTTTTCTTGACCTTAATCTGGATGGAAGCAGATAGCCAGGCCTTTTCTTCTAAGATGCCACTTAAATAGGTCATAATTTACCTCCCATGCAGCTTAATTGTTATAATGTGAACATTTCTCTCCTAGTAATAACGAAATGAATTAAGCAGCTTTAAAAACATTGAACTTTAACAACAAACACAACGCACTGCCGCCAAGTCGGATCCAACTCATACCAACCCCTCCTTGGGTTTCCAAGGCAGTATCACCATGTAAGGTAGTAGGTTTTAGTAAAATGATCTTACATCCTCTTTATTATTACAAAATGGTTATAACTTTCAGATCCTTGTAGTTGCTTTAGGTGCTGTGAAGTACAACAACATGAACACTGCTCTGTCCTGCACTATCCTTATAACCAATGCTATGTTTAAGCATAGTTGCAGCTATTCTGTCCATTTTGTTGAGGGTTTTTTTGTTCTGTTTTCTTTGCCCTCTACTTTTTCAAACATTAGGTCCTACCTGATAGCGTGACCAAAGGACATGTACATGAGATGAACATTAGGTCCCACCTGATAGCGTGACCAAAGGACATGTGCATGAGATGAAGTCTTGCCATCTTGTCTTCTGAGGAGCATTCAGCTGTGATTTTTCCCGACAGATGTGTTCATTCTGGTAGCCCACGCTCAGTTTTCCCGACAGATGTATTTGTTCTGGTAGCCCATGCTCAGTTCCCTGTTCTTCACCAGCACCCCAATTCTAATGTGTCAGGTCTTCTTTGGTTTTCCTTACACTGTCCATATTGTGCATGCGTGTCAGGCTGTTGAAAATACCATGGATTGGGTCAGGTGCACACTGACAGTCCTCAAAGTGACAGATCCTGAGCTTCGATCAAAATCCTGAAAACCATTATTTAAAACCAACCTCAACTTTGTATTTTATTTTTTTCAAGCATTTTTAATTGCCACATAATTTTAAAAAGTCTAGGTGTATATGTTTTTTGTTTTTTTTTTTTTTTTAAATCTTGCATGATCTCAATATTTGGAAGTTGTATATCCAGGTTGATTTGATGGCACATTTATGCTCTCAGGCATTTTATTTAAAATGGAGTTCTTCTACATCACATCAGACCAAGTGGTCTAAAACATTGTTGGCAATAGACTACTTTTTGAGTTGTAAGTGAAACATGTCTCACACTCCCCTTTGTTTAGTGGAACAGACAGCTGACTTGCTTGATGGCTTCTTCATAGTGGGAGTAGATTACAGTGCCGTGCATTTTGTTTGGAAAGAAATTGTATGAGGAAAAGGATATTTTAGGTCATTTATAGTTATAAACTGCTGACAATAATCACATAATGGTAAACTTGAAGTATACATTGGGTGCTTTATTATAAAAAAATCTGTTCTGCCTGCTGTATGTGTGATTTTTTTATTAGATTGTCAATTGTGTCTTCCCAAGGAAAGGAGGAAGGACACATTTCCTAGGGATACAGGAGGCTAAGCAAGGGCTTGGACCCAAAGTTCAAACATGGTCTCCAGGCTGTTTAAAAAATTCACCTACAAAGTGTTGAATCTCACTGCTCATCTAAGCTGAGACTTCATCTGGAAGTTCGGACCTATGCCAAAGGAACCGATTTTGTTACAATCCACCTAAAATAGTTTCTTAGTATCGTAAGGGTACTGTGGAATTTTCCTTCTGTTTATAAAAATTCCTGTGTCTTTCCAAGTGTCTCTAGTCCCAAAGTATGCTCTGTAACTTATATTATCCTGAGGGCATTTATAAAAAACTTCAGCACCTAATGTGCTCAGCTTGTTAATTCTGCCAAATTCTTCAAAAAGACAGTATTACTACCAGAAAGAACATGAGAGACCTTGGGGCTGACTTGGGTTTGAAATTAAGCCCAGCCAACTCTTTACTGTGTGACTGACTTTGAGCTGGTAATTGAACGTTTTGGTACTTCAGTTTTTTCTTTGTAAAATGGGAATAATGTCTCATAGGCTTATTGTGAAAGCAAATGAAGTAATTGACATAGTAAGTACACTACATAAACTAGCTAATTGCTTTGCTGATGTTTTTGTGTATGGTCTGTGGAGTATTGTGTGCTCCTGTGGAAGGGATATTGATTCTAGTCCTATCTAATAGTGGTTGGTTTGTTTTTTTTCTTTTTTCAGAAGCATGTATTTTCTAAACATTACTAAAATTTAGAGTAAAATCCCTTCCCTTGACATGTTGCCTCATTTTCAATGGTTATCACAGGCTATGCATTCCTGCTCTTTCAAGAAGAGAGCTCAGTTCAGGCGCTGATTGATGCTTGTATCGAAGACGATGGAAAGCTCTATCTGTGTGTCTCCAGCCCCACCATCAAGGACAAGCCAGTAAGTAATACCACCTGCACTTCAGGCTACAGGCACAAGTTTTCTGGAACTGGTTTTAAAATGATTGTTAATGATATAGAAATAATCAAACCACCATGTTTAGAGTTCAGGTTTTGAAATATTCATGTTATGTTTAGTACCTGTATTTAAAATAATGATTTGCTTCTAAATTCACCTATCTAAAATTTTGAATAATAAGAGGACCACTGTATGCTGGCAAAAGACAGCATAAGCTATCAATGCAATAAGACCCAGTGTGATAATGTAACTTTCTTCGTAGGTTCAGATCCGTCCTTGGAATTTAAGTGACAGTGATTTTGTGATGGATGGTTCTCAGCCTTTGGATCCCCGAAAAACAATTTTTGTTGGAGGTGTTCCTAGGCCGTTACGGGCTGGTAAGTAGAATATTAAATTTTATTTTCTAAAAAAAAATATTTAAATATGATTTTCTTAATTCAGTAAGGAAGCTTTGGTGGCATAATGTCTAAGGCATTTGACTGCCAACCAGAAGGCTGGAGGTTCAAACGCACCAGCCACTCCTTGGAAGGAAAATTGGGCACTCTACTTCCGTACAGATACTGCCTCAGAAACCCAAGGAGGGGTTGCTATGAGTCAATCCTACTCGACAGTAGTGAGTTTGGTTTACTTTTTGGTTTAATTCAGTGAAGACCTGCTTTGTTCCTGGCATTTATTGAGTGGAGGAGTGGCAGAAGCCTCAGACTCCAGTGTTTGCTGACTCCAGAATCCTGAGACGGATTCTGAGAACCTTTCTTCACACTCTCCAATAAGGGGAGGATGGAAGCGCTCGTAGTAGTATTGATTCTTCATGTAGACTCCATGAGAACCTACTTAAATACTTCTGACTTCTTAAGTGGAACTTTTTAGGATAAAGAATTTTTTTTTTATCTTTTGCTATTTTAACCATAAACAAAAGTAGTAGCTTAGTTGAGTGAGTGATAAACTTCTGTTTATCAATAATCATGAACCAATGATCAAGAAAATTCCCTATAGGATTATAATTATACACATATGAGGAAAGGAGTGAATTTGGTTTTGAATACAAGTTTTGGGTACCATTCAAAGCCCTGAAATAAAAATTTTAGTTAAGCTGTTGACATTTGGTAGACTTTTTTAAATAATCACTTTAGCTGCTGTTTGAGAATAAAATGTTAAAGGAGTTGAGGAATCAAAAGCAGAGAGATGAGGCTATTGCCATGGTCCATATAAGACATAATGATAGCTTACATCAGGATGTTAGTGATGGTGGTAGAGAGATTAGATTCTAGATAGAGCTTGAAAGTGAAGTTTGTAGGATTGAATATGCAGTGGGAGGAAAAGAACTATCAAGATCAAGCCAAAGGTCTGGACTTGGCAAATTCATCCTTCTTAATGTCCACTAACTGAGTGGGCAGAAACTTCTTGGAGGAGGTTTGATGAGTTAAAGAGTATCTAAAGGTCCATCTTGAATATACTGCGTGTTGCAGTGTCTGTTAACTCTCACTAGCAGTTGCCCAGTACACAATTGCATATGTAAGTGGGGAGCCTAGGGGAGTGGCTCAGGGTAGAGAGGATTTAGGAGCTGAAAGCATATTTGTTGTAGTTGTTCAGTGCTGTCAAGTCAATGCTGACTCAGAAGCAGCCTGTAGGATAGAGTAGAACTGTCTCATAGGGTTTCCAAGATTATAACCTTCATGAGAGTAGATCACCAGGTCTTTTCTCAAACAGAGCCATGGTGGGTTTGATTCACAGACTTGATGTTTAAAGCTTTTGTTATTGTTGTTATGTGCCCTCAAGTTGGACCTGACTCATAGCGACCCCTTCTTGGATTTCCAAGGGAGTATCACTACGGAAGTAGATCGCCCAGCCTTCCTTCCAAGGAGTGGCTGGTGGGTGTGAACAGCCAGTCTTCTGGTTAGTAGTCAAGTGCCTTAGGTACTATGCCACCAGAGCTCCTATGACCCAGGATGACATCACTAAAACCATGAGTGTAGCTAGAGGCACAAGGACTGATATTTAAGGCACTCCCACATTAAAAGCTCAAGAAGTTGGGGAGAAATTAGCCAGCCATGAATTAGCAGTAAGGTGGACAGAGAATTAGGAGAATATTGTATACTAGAAGCCCGATGGAGAAATCATTCAAACATTTCACCATGTTAAATGTTGTTTATGGGCAAATTGACCTTTGGACTTGGCAGTAGAGAAGGTGAACATGACAAGAGAATTAAAGTGGAGTGAGGCTGGTGGTGAGAGTGTGCTTATAGGGGGTCAAACGGAGAACAGGAGGAGAGCAATTGGGGAGTACAGGAAAGTTTGAGTGATTTGGATATAAAATGAAGCAGTGGCAGATAAGGGAGAGAGTTTATTGTTTTGTTTGTTTTTTAACCAAAAATTTAAAAAAAAAAAATGCAAGCTGACTGCATTTGAGTCAATTGTGACTCCTAGCAACCCTTCATGAAAGAGTAGAACTACCCCACAGGATTTCCAAGCCTGTAAATCTTTACTGGAGCGGATTGCCTCAACTTTTCCCTGTGGAGTAAGTGGCTGGATTCAAACTGCCAACCTTTTTATTTGCAGATAAATGCTTTAACCACTGTGCCACTGAGTTCCTTTTGTTTTTTTAAAGATGAGGCAAAAAATAGTATACTGATATTCTAATGAGAACGATCCAGTATACAGAGAAAACAGATGGTGCGGGAAGAGGGGATATTTGCTGAAGTGGGGTCTTTCTATAGTGAGAGCAGACAGGATCCTAGTACAGGTGTTCCCCAACTTACTGCGGGGTTCCATCCCAACAATTCTGTCCTAAGTTGGTTCTGACGTAAGTTGAATACCTTGTTTTTGTGTTTTTAGTTTTCATTATCATTGCCTTTTGTGATCAGTATCTTTATAAACCCAATCTTCATGTGTTTTTGAGGGTTGGCATGAGAATGATAACATCAGCAAGTATCATGCTATAGCATTTTATATAGCACATGTTACTAATGATAAGATACACTCTCCCCCACCCCCACCCACACACAAAGATGGGCCAGTCATAAGTGCAATCCATCGTTCTCTGAATCCATGGTAATTCAGGGACTGCCTGTTTATGAATGGCAGGGCTGGCCTTAGAAAAGAGCATGAACTGTGTTATAGTCCTAGGGGACAAGACAGGCCGGATGTTCATTGCTTGTCAGAGGGTCAGTGTGGTTGTGGCAAGTCTTCCTATATGTTGAGAAATAAAAGGACAGAGGGGAACTTCTTTGATCCCAGTGTCATCTCTAACAGCTGCCTCTTTTCTGCCATGTCCTCCTGGTCAAATGTTACTTACTTGTTGACTTTTATTATCATTATTATTATTAATTTTTATTGTGATTTGGGTGAAAGTGTACAGAGTAATTTCATTTTCCATATAGCAGTTCATACACATTTTGTCTCATGATATTGACTACAATTGCCCACAATGTAATAGCTCTCTCTCCATTTTCTCCCCATAGTTACCTCTTCCCTGTGTCCTTCCTTCTCATACACTCCTGCCCTCCACGCTGTCTTCCTGTGCAAAGAACTTTAAATACCAAGGCCCAAGTGACTATTAACCTATGCTTAGGCTATTGATATACTCTTTATTTTTTCATTAATTTTTATTGTGATTTGGGTAAAAGTTTACAGAGAAAATTCATTTTCCATACAGCAGTTCATAGCATTTTGTCTCATGACAGTAACTGCAATTCCCCGCAATGTAATAGCTCTCTTCCCACTTCCTCCCTGTAGTTACTTCTTCCCTGTGTCCTTCCCTCCCATGCACTCCTGCCCCCTGAGCTGTCTTCCTGTGCAAACACTGCCCTCCTGTTCTCCCATAATTGATCGCTCCAAAGAGTGTATCTACTTGATGTAAATGTTCACCCCATATGCCTGTCTGTTGTTTGGCTGGAAGCCACAAGAGAGTTTAATTCCATACCTGGAGGGTGGCTAGGGACCATAGTCTCAGGGGCCTCACCAGGCTCTATCAGACCAGCAGACCTGGTCTTTTTTTATGATTTTGAATTTTGTTCCACATTGTTCTCCCACTCTATCCAGGATCTCCAGCATCGATCCTGCTCTGAGTGGTTGATGGTAGTAGCTGGGCACCATCTAGTTCTTCTGGTCTCATGGGCTTCTAGGCTGAGGATCACATGCTCTACCAGTCCCTTGGAACACTTGTTTCCATGCATCTTTGGTTTTCTTCATTCTTCTTTGCTCTGGATGATGTGAGACCCATCGTTGCATCTGGATGACTGCCAAGATCCCAGTTACTACACACCAACGTAGGATGTGGAACGATATTTTTGTGTAGTATATTATGCCAAGTGAACTTGATATCCCCTGGGACCATGGTCCTGGGCCCACAAGTCCAACTACTCGCTCCTTCTGGGTAGCTGGCTGTGGCCAAGAAGTCACTACAACTTTGTCACTTGTCCTGTTGACTTTTCCTTTTGAAAATACTTAACATTTGTTGGTTTACTGTGTTCTCTCACATTTGATACGAACTTCTTTTCCTTTTGAAGTGGAACTTGCTATGATAATGGACCGGCTCTATGGCGGAGTGTGTTATGCAGGAATTGATACAGATCCTGAGCTCAAATACCCAAAAGGTGCTGGACGAGTCGCTTTCTCTAATCAGCAGAGCTATATTGCTGCCATTAGTGCCCGGTTTGTTCAACTCCAGCATGGTGATATTGATAAGCGTGTAAGTTTCCTATTGTGGCATCCCTTATAACATGTGATCCAAAGCTTACTACCCTAACAAGTTAGTAATAGGATACAAGGCAGTGTGTTTGTGTTTCTAAAGACTTTTAGCTTTTGAATTAGAATATTACATCAAAATATCCTTGAAATGTGGAATTCTTGAATGTCTGTTAAAATGTAGAAAAATATAAATGTCATTTTAAAGGCATTTCAAATGTTTGGTCGGTTGATAAGGTTGAGCTGGAATGAGTTTGATGGAGTGGGTTTTGGGTTTTTTAACCATGGAGTCAGAGCTTGTTTTCTGAGCTTGCACTTGTGAGCCTTACTGCCTAGGGTTGGATCCCATGTCCAACATTTTAATCAGTTCTCTTGGGCACATTAACCCTCTCTGTGCCCTTCTGTCCTCTGATACAAAATGGAACACAATAGCAGTACCAGCTCATAGTTATTTTTAGGATTAGGTCAATTCGCATATGTAAGAAGCACTTAGAACATAGTAAGTACTGTGTAAGTGTTAGCTATTTTTATTTATTGCAAAATCTAAGATAAAAATGCATTATGTATTGTTCCCTAAAATAATTGTCCTGAATTTTAAAACATTTACTCTTTAGTAGTATTGCCTATTCACAATAAGAACTTTGAAAGACTTCTATTAATATGTGAAAACCAAGCTGTTAAGAATAATTCATAGGACTGAATACTATCTAAAATCAAGACATCAGCAAAACTCAATTGTTCATTTACAAACGTGTTTCACACTAAATTCTCTGAATAGTTTCCAGTTGTCCATAGTTACAGAGTATTCTAAAATAATTGTGTATGATACCCATGAGGTATACCAAAAAGATGGGGTAAATGAACTTCTTCGTATGCAAATTAGCAGACATAGCTTTAATTGGTATTCACTTTCCCTATGAAGCAGTTTCTTCAGGCCTCTTCTCTGAAGCTATTTGTACTACAAGAATATTTTTGGGGACAGAGGAACTATTAACTAATTCCAGTCGACTGGGCTGGACTATGGCCTGTAGAAGGGATTGCCAGTATAATTGCCAAACCAATCCAGTTTAGAAAAGTATAGCGTGGAATCCCTGAGGTGAGTAGCACAAACCATCCCCTGACCAAAAGGTTGGTGCTTTGATCCCAAGAGAGGCATCTTGGGAGACAGGAGTGTGATCTGCTTCAGGAAGGTCAGAGCCTTGGAAACCCTGTGGAGCAGTTCTACTTTGCACACATGGGTTCTCCATGAGTCAGAATTGACTTGATGGCAATTAATAACAACAGTTCACCAGCAGGTTCAGTCCATAAATACAGAGTGGCTTTTGTGTGTGTATTGTTGCTTAAAATGTTGCCCAAGAAAAGTATCTAAGAAGAGGGGCTCTGCTTTTAATTCAGACATACATAAAATGTTTTAACTTGTTTGAGCTTTAAAACTCCTCCAGTGGTTTTCAACATTGGCTGCATATTGAAATCACGTGGGGAGCTTTCAAAACTCTTGATGCTTGTCTCTGCTCCCCTACCCCCAGACTCTGATATAAGGGGCCATGGAAAGCTCCTCAGATAATCGTAATGCACCGCCTAAGTTGACACCACTGGTCTGGTCTAACCCTCTATTTTTGCAGAGAGCTGGATGGTCTCAGAGGAAGTTACTTACATTGTATATAGCCGTGGTTGTTAACGTGCAGAAGCAGGAGGAAAAGATCCCTCCCTGTTTCCAAAATGATAGTGAAAGACCAGTTATTCAGGGTAGAGTATTGATTCTGAAATAGCAGCTCAGGTGCAGAACAGGTGATTTAAGAAAGAGGTGCCTTCTTACAAGGGCTATCCATTTAGAACTAACAACCCAAAGATACACAGGATACTTTTGGGAGAGGATTAAAATTGTTTATTCAACTTACTTTTTAGGCTCTTGGACCCTTGGGAGGTATGCTTAGTTCCTCACTCCCTGACAGCAGGGGAGTCCAGTCACTACACATTGTAATTCATTGTATTTTATTTATTTTTTATTCTAATGCCTGAGTAAGGAGTTTACGTCTGGTAGATACAGAAGTGAATTGTGTTATACATCAAGTTGAATAATTAATTATTTCAATAGTTAGGAATCCAGTTAACAAAATATTACAGATTTGGTTCTCTGAAGTGACAAAAGGAAGAAAAATGTAACAGAAAGTAAGATAGGTGGAGACTTGATAAATGCTTTTTCATACATACAAGAGTGAATTGTTTCATATTATTATTAATCAAAAATAGGTTTGTGTTGTGCTATAAAATCCTAAGCTTGGGGTCCTGGTTTCCATGTTTTAAGGTAAGTAAATTAGCTTCATAAAATAATTTCTAGGATTAAAAAATAGACAAGTAATTTAAATCTTTGCATTTAAGGAAGTGTTTCAACAGTTTTACATTAAGTGGTTCCAGAGCAGAAGGCATTTTATTAGGTACTGTGAAATGAAGGAGAAATACAGACCTTGTCCTCAGGTTTTCTTACACTAAAGACAAGAAATACCCATGAGGAAGAAACCTGGAAAGCTTCCTCACACGTCGCACATTTGTCCTCCTTTCTCTGTCGTTACAGGTGGAGGTAAAGCCATATGTGCTAGATGACCAGATGTGTGATGAATGCCAGGGCGCACGCTGTGGTGGGAAATTTGCTCCTTTCTTTTGTGCCAATGTCACTTGCCTGCAGTATTACTGTGAGTTTTGTTGGGCAAATATCCACTCTCGTGCAGGACGTGAGTTCCACAAGCCATTGGTAAAGGAAGGTGCTGATCGCCCACGTCAGATCCACTTCCGCTGGAACTAAGAATAGCGAGCCGGCGTCTGCTTAAGGAAAGAAAGGGTGCATGTGGCTTACTGTGTGTAAGGATACTGACATGCAGAAGAGATAAGTGCATTCTTCTGCTTTCTCCCCAGCTATCAATACATGCATCTTTATCAGCAGCCAAAACACTACAAGCCTCTTGTTTTTCACCAAAACCCTACATCTCAGGCTTACTAATTTTTGCGATATTTTCATGTTAAAATAAAATGTTTTTTTGTATTTTCTCCAAGTTATTTTTATATGTAAAGTGAAAATTAGATATGAGAATGTTTTGCGTAGGGGCAACACCGTCTGCTGCTATATTGTGGGGGAAGCGCGCACTTATTTCTAAATGTGGGTTTTTAACTTCAAGATCTGCCCCAGTAATTTACCAAAGGTAGCAAAATAATAGTGAAGATGGAATATGTCTGCTACAAATGCTTATTTTTATTGTTGCTATTTTCAGTGTATACATAAACTAAAAATTAGGGTTAATTTTTTGCTCTCCATTTTGACTTGCAAGAAATAATACCTCAGATAATCTGATTTATTAGCTATTTTTAAACATTTTTAATCACAAGCTGTATTAGCTTTGCTGCTATATAGGTGTTATGTGTAAATGCCACCTATTAATACGGGATTGAAAACGTTAGAGACACACTGCATTGCAGATGAAATGCAGGCAGCACAATATGGCCTAAACTGCCATAGTTTTAGAATGTGAAAAAAAAATGCATGTTTACTTACCTGTATACATCATAATGCATGCACTAGAGTTAGTAACTAACAAGAGGTGAGGTATTGCAGATGTCCAAACAAGCTCTCTTGAATCTAGATAGCATGAACCAATTATATAATTTGTTTTAAAAAAAAGCAAACTTGCATGCATTATTGTGACTTCAAGTTTAAAAAAAAAAAAAAACTGTCCTACATGTGTACAATATGCAAATTAGTCTTAGATTAGAGAGTGCAGCCATTTTGTGATCTGGTCGGTAGTGGAACTCGATTTTTGCAGACTGGATGTAATATTTGTAATCCCTGTGCAATTTTGTGATGTGCGGTTCTAATTCATGTGCAGTGATAGAGTATAGAAAAGATTGAAAGGAAAATACAAGAATTTTAAATAAGTTGATTTTAGCCCCTTTGATAGTTCATGGTTAAGACATCCTTTCCAAACCAAAGATGGCCAGCACACTGCTAACCAGTCACCAAATGTAAGACCCGTGGAAAACCCATACTTAAAAAAGTGAACTGTAGAGAAGAATGCAAAAACTTTGGTGGACCCACGTAAAGTCAAAATGGAGATGGGAAATAAACAGACGGCTAGTTGCATGAAAATAAATTTTACCTTGAAGGCAAAGGTGAAATCTGGCTTAAACTTACTTAATGTTTGACCTATGTACTTTGGGGTCTTATGTCTAAACTGGGGTCACTGTTGCATGGAACATTGTTGTCCTTAATGGTTGAGGATTGCTTTTTTTGTTTTTTGTTTTGTTTTGTTTTGTTTTTTGTTTTTTTGATGAAGGAATTTTGGTAATGACTTTGCTTGCAGTTTGTTTGTTTTGGAGAAAGTGGCATGGAAACATGCAATAGTTAATGAGTTTCTCTTGGTACTGAACACTATTAGAATATCATCAGTGGTATTTTTTCTCCTCAGAGCATTTTTAAAGCAACTTAGCCCCAATGTTTTAATGTAAGAGTTACTCTGCAATCTTAGCAAAGCACCCAACAATGGTAAATGTTTTTTAAAAATGCAGATTTTTGACTCTAAAGAAAAAATTACAAGGGTGTTGCCTTATGCCAAGCCCTTGGGACAATCCTTCATGTGAGCATAGTATTGATCTTATATTGGTTGTCTATGGTGTGCTTTTTGTACTGTAAAAATATGTGGTTCACGTCTAACTCTGCTGTTTTATTGTGGTTGTGGTTCAAGTTTTTAATGTTTAAAGTTGATGCTGTTTTCAGAAGAGCTTTTTACTAATTTATTTGTCAATGTTCCCTATTTGTTACTTAACCATGATCCTCCAGATTTTTTGGAGTATTCTTTTCTAACCTTAACCCTGCCAAACCTTGATCCATTTTGACATTTATTATGCACTATTTTTATATCTCTGTGAGAGATTTTTCCAACAGTCAGCTATTTTATGGCACACTTTTTTTGACAGATGACATCTCCTTTGCTATACCTCAATTTTTGGAATTTAGAAAAGAAATCAGTAGTTTTGCAATGTTAATTATTTAGATATTTAATTTCGCAGATTTTTTAACTTTATTTTCATAATTTCTGCTTAATCTTTAAAATTAAAGAGCCTTTTCATGTATTAAATAATGAACACTAAAATAAATTATATGATGAAAATAATTGGAGATGTTGAAAATCACTTCCCTTCTTAAGTATTTGAAATGAAGGGAAGTGTAATAGGACACCCTTTTTGCCACGGGTAAAATGACAGAAATGGGTGGTTGGTCTCACCTTCATTTCTGTCACCACTAAAGCTTGTTAGTTTAAGTATCCTGTTCCTTTCCCTTCTCCCTACCTTTTGTCCCCCTCTTTTATGTACTACATTCTAACTTTCTAACTGTTGAACACTGTATTAGAGGTTTTGTTGTTGTTGTTTTTAATTTACAGATCATATTTATTTCACTATTTTTGTAGGAAATTATTAATTTTGACTGTATTTTTGTATTTTAAAAGCTTCTTCATTTGTGTTCCCGAAATGTTCATATTGCTGCCCAAAAGTATGACTGTGGAGGAAAAAAAACTTTAAAAATACACACTTTTTGTTAAGAAGGAAACATTTAGCATTTATATATTTGTGTATGGAGAACACTTGATATTTATCCCTGTTGCATCTGGCTGCACGGAGCCTCTCCTCAAAGATGCTACAAAACTTGAATATAACCCATTTTGGAAGGCTGGCTGACCTCGATTCTGTGTTGTGATGTGCAATACTGTTTCTAATGTTTGTATAAAAAAAAAAATGACAGTGTAAACCTTTTTAATGCAAATTTATTTTTTTCATTGCATATTTTGCAGATTTTATCCACAGTGTCATTTTTTACTGTCAGAAAAGATACCCCTTTTGTCATTGCAACTATTTTTTAAATCCAGAAATCTTTGTACTGATGTAAATGATTGTAGTTATTTTGGATAGTGTTTTGCTAACAAAAGGAGAGACTTTTTTCATGCATATTTCTATTTTGTTTTTTTGGGTTTTATTTTATTTTAATAGTAGTAAAATACTTGGAATAATTTTTCATATTCTTGTCATTAATATTATTTTGTATTTTTATGTGGAAATATATAATTTTATGACACTAATTGCTAAAGTTTATTTTATGTTGAATTATTTTTGGAGCTGAAATCTTTGTAATATTAAAGCAACTAGTTTCTAATTCCCAGTTTCTGTATAGAATCGCACAAGTGGTTTATGGAGTGTTTGGATTGTAATTATAAATGGCTCTTTGATATGCAAATTAATATTTTCAGTTGATTTTATTTTATATTCCTAATGAGGTGTTAAAGCCGTTTTTTATTTTTTTCTAAATAAAAAGAGAACCCATGCTTTTATGGACACTAAGTAAACGCCTTCAGCTTAAATTTTTTGGTTAAATCTTTTAGTTTATTTTATTGTTATCTTCCAGGTGTCTAAATCTCCAGTCTGTCTGTTGTACTGGTAATTTAACTCTGTAATGGAATAGTTTGCTGCCAACTATTTATATTAAGTAATTTTTAAATATTTGTAATATTGTTGACTGACTAATAAACTATTAAGTTATTGGCATAGTTGTGGAATCTTACTCTTTTACTCAGATCAAATAAAATATCCATCAGCACCAGTAAAATATTGTTTAGAGAGCTTAGCAGCACAAACTTATTGTGAAGCTTGACCCACTCTTTATTTTCGTGTAAGGAGTGGGAAGGAAGTTCAGGAACCATTAGTCCAGTATTGTTCAGTAAGTATATCAGCCGCTGAGACCCTTCGCGTCAGCTCTCCTTGCTGCCTTCATCTTCACCCCACCACACACATAACATAAAAGTTTGTGTTACACTTCCCACAGGTAATTACGGTAGCCACATGTAAATCAATGCTACTTTCAGAAAATGAGAAACTGTTGACCATGTTGCGAACTGCACAATTTCTACTGTGTTTCATCATATAAACCACTGGTCTCATAATTTTTCTACTTGTTTTCTGTACAGCCTGTGAGTTCTTCAGTGGCTACATTATAGAGAGAGGGAAAAAGGTGTGGAAGGTCTGGCCTGGGATTTAGGTTTTTCATCTTCATTTTAACTCAAATGCTCCATCTCTCACTTTCACAAAATTACAGTTCTACCTAAAAATTGGTGTGTGGCATGGGAAGGAGAGGATTCCGTTGCTTTCTTTAGAAAATATTTGAAAAATCACTGATTATAACCAATGTTGTCTTTTACCTATAAGAACATAGGTATCTCGGGGTAAAATTAATTAGCTTCTAACTTCTGTAGTGATATCATGTCGGAAACCCAAGGAGGGGTCGACTCGATGTCACATAACAACAACAACAATTTTCTACAAGACATCGTGGAAATCCCCTAAATAGGCTTGTCCTGACATTGCAAGGCCCCCAGATCATGTCAGTATCACACATGTCATAGACACATGAAACTTCCCTTGCCCAGCAGATCATACATCTTTTCACTCATCTCTATCTTGGCCATCTGCTGCCTTGTTTACTATTTGGAATCTTACCCTGTCTTCCCCCAACAAATCCCCTTCCTTAATAAAAACAAACAGCCTCCATGTTCTGGCCTATCTTCAAGATTTAGCAGAAATTTCACATTGTCTTGAATCTTTCCCTTCATGACATGAGATCAATGCCTTCTTATATGCCCCTCTTCCATTAAGAAAAGAACAAACTGCATGTTGGGCACTGGCTGCTTAGAATCCTGGGTCACCAGCGCATGTCATAGCCTTATAGTGAAAAGTCAAGTTAGCTCAAGCTCAATGTAATACGCTATACGAGAGAGAAGATACTATAGTAAATGTTTCTCAAGTGAGAAGGGGAGGAACTTCTACTGAAACAATTTTATGAAAATAACTTCTAATTGTTTAGAGAATTGAGCACAGGAGTTAGCATTTGACCTAAGGCTTAGTCTAGGAATCTATTGTAAGCAGAGCAAATTTTGTTGTATAAGCAAAGAATGAAAAGAACTCAACGCTTAGCTCTCACAAACCCTTTTTCAAAGAATTAAAGTGTGTTTCACAAGAAAATAAAAGAATAGTAATAAAATCCAAAAACACAGGAAGGCATGAAAAACTTAAGTGCTGTGTAAGTAAAGATATCAACATATGATGTATAAAAACCGAACCAAACTAAACTAAACTGCCATTGAGTCAATTTTGACTCATAGTGACTCCTCCTTGGGTTTCCGAGGCAGTATCACTATGGAAGTAGATTGCCTAATCTCCCTTCCAAAGAGTGTCTGGTGGGTTTGAACCACCAATCTTCTGGTTAGCAGTCAAGAAATACGGATAAAATGACTAAAAAGCTTACAATTTAGAGTAATTCCTAACTAGTAGAGATATGTTAAAGCAACTCAAGAAAATACTAAAGCTCAAAGTAATTTAAAGCAAAACCTGGATGAACATTTGGATGGGTGACAAAGGTCTTGTTTAGAGTAGAAGGACAGATGATAGTTGTTGATTAATTGCAATTACTATTTTATTTTTCAAAGAGCAATATATGTTATGTATGTGTGTGTGTGGTTGCTGTTAGGTGATTTCAAGTCATCTCCAACTCAGAGTGACCCTACGTACAACAGAACGAAACACTGCCTGCTCCTGTGCCAGCTTCACAATCATTACCATACGTGAGCCCATCACTGCAGCCACTGTGTCAATCCATCTTGTTGAGGGTCTTCCCCTCTTTTGTTGACCCACCATATTACCAAGTATGACATCTTTCTCCAGAGAATGGTCCCTTCTGACAGCCAAAGTAGGTGAGATGAAGTCTAGCCATTCTCACAAGGAGCATTCCGGCTGCACTTCCTCCAGGACAGCTTTGTTAGTTCTTTTAGCAGTCCATGGTACTTTCAGTATTCTTCACCAACACCACAACTCAAAAGCATCAACTGTTCTTCCAAAAAAAAAAAACCAAACACGCTGCCGTTAAGTCGGATCCGACTCAGAGCGACTGCTCCTTGAGTTTCTGAGGCCATATCACTCCAGAAATAGATTGCCCAACCTTCCTTCTGAGGAGTGGCTGGTGGGTTTGAACCGGCAGCCTTCTGGTTAGCAGTCAAATGCCTTAGGTACTATGCCACCAGAGCTCCTAAATCTTCTTCAGTCTTCCTTATTCATTGTCCAGCTCTCACATGCATATGAGGTGATTGAAAATGCCATGGCTTGGGATGGGCGCATCTTAGTCTTTAAGGAGACATATTTGTTCTTCAGCACTTG